AATCAATGACAGGATATTTACAAATCTTTTTGTGACACAAGTCGTCTGTATGTCTATCGACTTGTCTTTCTTCGCACAAGAGCACATTTATACCCCCATTGGCTTTATACTTTCAGGTATTGGGACTATCCGTCCAACTTCACATTTTTCAGGTGAAATCAATCTTGATTGCATATATTTTATTTTATTTTGGCCAATCATTTATCTGTCCAAATTTCATGACATATTTGAGCTCAAGATCCTCGTCAATATTAATAATATTGAGCGCTACATTATATTAACAATATCGTCGACGATCACTTTATGTCGGTTCCGTTATTACCTAATAAAGACATAACTTATTGATGTTTCTTTATCTCATTATTTTCAGGTACCTGAGCCTCTCCCATGAGGTCTTATGAAGTGTTATGTCGTGGTGCTCTTCTAGAGCATTTGCCTCCTTATTATGACCATTTTAAATATTTGTCTCTCTCCTTCTTCAAGAGTTTTATCTTTGGAACCGATTAGTCTGTTACGTTTCATGTGTAGCATAGACTCTGTCCCTCATGGACTTTATTCTATTTGGAGCATTAGCAGCTGAAATATGACATTTAGCTTTGGGTCAGCAAATGCGTCTGGCAATAATTTGTAAATGAATTATCACTTGAACTTTAAGTTCATATTTTTTTATACGAGCATCTATATGTATTCATAATAATTCATTTCATGTATCACTTCCTCAGCTGCCCATTTTTCCCCCTAATGTTGGATCACCAACACATTCCCAACCTTCTTTGGAAATACATCTTTGTGCATTGTGGTGGAATAATTAAATCATATAGCACATTCATATTTCTATATAGAAATTATTTGGTTCCTGACCTTGAACCGATTGTGATAGGGAGAAATTTTCATAACTTGGCTAGATGCGTACAAGTGTTGCGCTATATTAATAATACTTCTCATAGAAAATTTCGTTTTTGAGAGTTTTGTTCTCATAACCAATGATTTAAATATAATTGGAGGCATATAATTTCTGCTAAATCAACTTGGATTTAAACCAGTATTATTAAGATAAATCATCATAATTTATATTCCGAAACTGTGCTCTAATAATTTGAGCAAGTAACCTTGCAAAAACCAAACTGCAAGTTGATAACAAATGCGCATGTGACCATAGAATAGATGCATCTATTAAAATCACATAATAGTAAACGGTCCATATGGCAGGTGACTGGGCCCATATATTTATCACCTTTTATTTGTTCCAGAAATTAAGGGATACGATCCCAACCTTAACTGGTATATCATGAGAATAAGCAGCACAAGAGAATTCTTGAAAAATCTTCTATTCTTCAATATATGCCAATGTAACTCTCAATTAATTTTTTCGCATCATAATAGAACCGGGATGGTCAACCGGTTATGCCAACTAATATTTATTTTAGTAAACCTCTAGTTTACTTGTGGCATATGATTCAAGCATCATGCTTATATTTGTGCAGTACAAATAGAATAAAATCGGGTAACCTTTCATATTTACCCGATATGATTATAGAAAAGATATTCAATTCCTTTTATTTATTGTCTCAATATGACAACCACTTTGACTTATACATTTGAAACTCAAAAAGTTTCTTTTGAGACTTTACAATATCAATGTCATGAACAATTTTATTCATCCCGATAGTAACAAATTAGTTTTTCCGGAGCTCTTAACAATTTTTGTACTGCAAGATCTTTTATCATACCATTCATATGGTAAATGTCTCCTTCACAGAGAAACTTATATCATAATAAATTGTCATGGTCAGAATCATCATAAGCAAAATCATTTATTGCTTTAATTTTGCCTTTAATAACTTTTATAAGGCATGGCAAAATAATATTTGGTGTATCACATGTACGCGACCAATGACATATTCATGTAACCACATTGTAATATTTATTATCTTTATTTCTTTAAACCTCCCTTAGAGGGGAGTTGTGATATTTATCCAACCATGCATAAGCACATTCTTACGCATAATTTTTATCACATATATATTTCAGCATTTATTTTCAGGAATGAGCCTGCATTTACAATGCTTATCACACGTCACATTTTCAACGAATGTACTATAATCATGTGAACGTGTCTCGTATTAACATACCACATTGATACATATTCCTTCACTTTTGAAGGATCATTTTGAGAACCCTTATTGTTCTCCTTTTTACAATTACCATAATGATGACTATTATTATTTAATCTTTGGTACGTCCACGTTCATTGGTCAACCACTTATCTTTATTTAGACTTAATTATGCACCGTTATCACATTCACTTCAAGAATGGAGCAAATCAAGTGGGACAAACTTCATGCTTTTTCATGAAAAATATATTATTTTTCTTTAATCATCATTGTATCATCAATATGGTGCATTGAGACTCAAACCCAATGTCTTACCCATATAAAGGCAGGTTAGGCCGTAATGAGTTGGGACCCAAACCCAACTCTTATCATCATAGTGCGATGGGACTTAAACCCATTGTCTTTACCTCAACCAATGACATCATTATATCTAGTCATCATAAGACTTTAAAATATTACCACGCTCAACAATTATAAGTGAAAAATTGTCTAGTATCTCCATCACCTTATCACATATTTAATTTGATCCAAAAATTGAACTATTTTATCATAAGATATATAAAGTTAATTAACGGATAGTCATACAATCACATATCTCAATCGGGATATTAAAGCTCATCAAATATAATTGCTCCTCAAAGTTATTATTTTAAGGATAATTTTTGAAGAAGCAATCAACTTAGATTGATGATATGTGCATTTAATTAGTTAATGAACAATGATATAACTATTATTATCTTTCATGTGTCTAAAACAAAATATTATTTAGCGTAATATATATTTTGCTGCCAAAATTGAAGTATGTCACTTTTCTAGATTGACCACATAAAAGAATTATAAGTGCACCTAAAAAAAATTTAATATCATAAAATTTATACCTACATAGTATCTTCATGTGTACTAATATTTTGTATGTAAGCTTGTCAAAATAAATAGTTACATGTAGCTAGTGTAGTATATCATGTTATACTGCATAATAATATATAATCATGCATTATGTTAGGTGTACCCAAGTACTTAAATTCAGTAAGAAAATACACTTGAAAACAAAAACAATATCAAGTAACCTCATTATGCCCTAACATGACCGGAATACATTTTAATATTTCACAAAGATCTTTTAATATCATAACAAATTACTGGTAGCATGATATTATATTTGTATAAGATTAATCTTAGAACTAGAAACAAAATTAGCGGACATACACAACCATACATGCATGAAAACTTAAAATCAAAGCTTACTACTTTCTAACCAAAGCAAATACAAATCTTAAATTTTAACATAAGCTAAATACACAATTTATGGTATAATTAAAAATAATACTCACTGCTGGACAGTAAGAAGCAAACTCAATATTGATATGACATACGAAATGTCCAGGTTTTATTGGCTCAACCAACTTGATTCAAGGTTGTCGGTTATTCATAGTTCCATCATAAAATGACTATCGATCCTTTCAATTTGGTTAGAGCTTCGTGCTGATAACGTGTTATAAAATAAAAGCAATTTAGTAATACATGAACAAGAAATAAAAGCAATTTAGTAAAACATGAACAAGAAATAAAGATAGAGAGAAGGAAGAGATTTTCTTCTTCAATTGTGTGTATTTTCCTATCTATTACAAGACCTTTATATAGACATAAAAAGTGAAGAAAATATGTCATTGAACAGACAAAATAGGTCATTGAATATGTCATTAAGCATTTGAGATGAAGATCATGGAAGAAGGGTTGACATCCACCATAATGTGATATTTATCATAACAAAATATTTGTTTTATTTAATACCAAATATCGTTTTTATTCATCCTCGCGAGCCGAAGGTCTTTCAAAAACAACCTCTCTATCTCTTCAAGGTAGAGGTAAGGTCTACATATATTTTATGCTCTCAGACCTCACTTGTAAAATTTTACTGTGTTTGTTGTTGTAATTGATACCAAATACGAAGATATGATAAGAATAATTTAGGCTTGTATACTATACTTCGTTAAGTCCATTTTAAATTCCGTTTTAGCTAAATAAATTTTAGCCAATATAAGTACTATTATCATTTTAGGAAACCAAGAAAGCACAACATTTTTTTTCAAATCTACCATTATTAACTCCATTAAATGACTTATAGAATTTTCTAAATTAGAAAAGATAAAAGCATAATATAATTAAACAATCCTTTAGATTAATACTATTAAATGATTTTCTTAATAAATATGTCAAAACATTTAAAATGAACCAGAGGCGGTAAGATTTTATTCAAAAGAGGGGAAAAAACATAAAATGTATGATCTATTTTCCTTTTCTTTTGTCAAAAATAAAATAAAAACATGCTACGGTACAAAAAGTTTGTTGATATAATACAGAGCTTGGTAAGATAAGTAGACGATTCATTGAATTTTTAAATATTCAAAATAGAAGTACTAATTGGGGGTCGTTTGGTATATGGGATAAGAATAATAATTCCGGGAAAAAGTTTGGGATTAACTTTATCCCATGTTTGGTTTGGGGTATTAACTAATCCCGGCATAACTTTTACACTAAAATTGTGAGATTAGTATCCCATATAGAAGGTGGAATAACTAATCACATAGAATATCCCACCCCATGAGATATCCCACCAATATACCAAACGACCCTAAAGGTGTACACATTCCAATGGATGGAAGGTTAAATGAGTGCTTAGCCAGACATCACATGACCAAAATAAAAAAAAGACAGTCTGATGTACAAAGTATCTTGCATTCACTTAGGGTTCGGGAAGGACCGTAAGCATTAGCACGNACAGGAAAAATAAAAAAGAGGACAGCCATAGGGTCCATCAAAGACCAAAACAACATAAGAAAATACTCATTCCAAGTTAACCTCAGGCAGTTATCTGAAAGAGAATCATGGCATGAATGGTTTTTTACTTGGCCAAATGACAGAATACATTGGACATCCAAAGAACTATCAAATCCTACAATAAGTAGTAGTATTATGTACATAACAAAAAATTTCTCCTCATCGCGGAGTTTGAAGTAATGAAAGTTGTTTAATGTCAAAAAATATTATGGTCACGAAACTACTTTAACGTAAGATGTCATACAATAACTACACCTCAATTCCAAACTAGCTAAGACAGTATCATACTAAAAATTTAAGCATGTATCCAAACGTTGCGACTGGGAGATCACTGTCTTGACCGAGTATTCGTGACATCTTCAACCATACACTGAGCTCCATAGTGTATTTTTTTTTTTTACACATTTTGCTTCTTCCTACCAGTGTTAGTGACTCATGAACTATTATACAACAACATTGCTTCAGCGAAAATTTGGTGGATGAGGATCAACAGGGATTGTGTACATTGGCGATAATTAGTCCTTCCGAGGGTTTGCAAAAGCCAAAGGACCCCTCTAGATCACGACGGGATCAGATTTTGAGAGATATTCCTTCTCAACTCCGCTGAACATGACTAATAGGCGCTCTTGCAGATTAGAAACTATGTTTTTCGTGATCCTTTTTTGATGTCTCGAGCATTTCAACCAAGCAATTCCCAGATGTACCTGAACGTTGCATCTTGTTGATCTTGAGGGGACAACCTCAACCTGGTATCTCAGGTGAAGCTGCAATATACAGACAAGGAGCTCTTAGCCTACTGTGAGCAGATGTTAAATGGAAAGAAAAACGACATATCATAAATGTCCCTACATTGAAAAAATCACCCAGTGGAACTCCGTGAAGAGTCATGACCTCTTCTACGAGCCAACCATTTTTATCAGAAAGGCGAGACTTCTGCTGCGTGCTCGTCACTTCACCTCTATAACGGGATATACACTTGTCAAATTTATAATAAAGTTGCCTCTGATACACATCAGGCTTCTCAGATTCCCAGGGACTAAAAGAATAATTAAGACAACCGACTTTCTCCATGATCTTACGATCAAGTTCATTACCACTGAATAACTCCATGAAAAAGTCCGTCTGCAAACAACCAAAACAAGTTATTGAGCAAGAAATGTAAAACGTAATTAAGAATTCCTATTTCACGTGCTCAGATGCCGGACTATAACTATTGAGCAATTAACAGATAGTCTAACTATAATTGGGGCAGGATTTGACAGAGGTGAGCAATTTAACCACCGCTACATGCAGGCCTGCAATCCCATCTCAACCGAAATCCATCAAATAGATTTAACCCCCAAAATCTCTTGAACAAAAGGAAAGGCAGGGGGGAGACTCACTGGAACTGAAAGTACAGAGGAATAAACAACAGACATATTTATATCCTCCACACCCACGAAAGATCCACTCTCTTCCGATTGAAGGCTTTTGCCTTCAGAGTCATCATCTGCAGCTTGGAAGTCACTGCTTATCGCATCCTCTTCTGCCATTTGAAGGCCTTTAGCTTCCGACTCTTCTTCAACTAACTGCACCTTCTGCTCGGGACTCAAAGCTCTTGCCTTCCACAATGCCATGATAGTCCTAGACACATAATTAAAAGAATTAAATTTCCTTGTTATCACTATAAGCTGCTCAGACGCGAAACCCAGTGTTTTATCTGACAACAGCTTTTTTTTTTCCCCTTGAAGTTTCCTACACGAAATACTAGTTCAAAATAGACAAACCGCTCATAAAAAGGTGACGCACTTACCTGTGAGCCACATTGAAAGAGACAAAAGAGTGGAAATGAAACTTCAGCCTGCCTTGCTCATCTTGAGTCTTGGCACCATGCCTTGCATCAAAACCTTTACCGGGCTTTAAAGTCATGATAACATTCGGGCTACCCATTGACGCCAAAGTAGGAGACTCAACTTGAATGTCTTCAATATCTTCCCAAAGAAGAAAAAATTTGGTCTTATGTCCAAATAGATCAGAATGGAACCCAATTATTCTTGCAGACAAAAATAGTCGGCCCTGAACCAAAAGAAATTACAAATAGGTGCATTAATAAAGAAAGCATCATAGCTCACAAAGTTGGCGGAGACTCATTTACAACTTTGACAAGATAATATTAACAATCCCGACCAACTGATGCAGAAGTACATTAAAGACTAAAGATACTGTTCAAAAGCAAATTCAATGATTTATCAACACAAAGAATCAATAAACATTAGCTACCTGGAGGGGCATCTTGCGTTTCAAGTGACATGCAAAATCATTGATGAGAAATTCCTCAGGTGGAAGCGCAAAAAGCTTTTGGAATGCTGAATTGGTCTGAGGAGATCGTAATTTTATCTACAAAAAAATTCAGACACCGTTCAGCAGGACTCAGAAAGAAAATTAAATCTCCATATTTAACGAGTTCCATCGGCCATATAACATTAAGTGCAGAAATAGATGATCTACCTTCTTCCCGACTTCCTTCTCCATCTTAGACAGATAGTCTTTGACAACATTGGTACCCTTTGTATTATTCAAG